CTAGGAAAGTTCTGTTGCTTAAAAGAAAGGGTCTTAAGCCATTTTTTTCTGGCACACTGCCAAAAGCCCATGGGAAAGACAGGAACACAGTTGCAAGTTTTGTGCAACAGTTGATTACATGTAGCTTCTGGGCCAGAGCTGTGGTCGATGGAACAAACCAGGTTTGTGAAGATTGCTTTCAGAGGGTGGAAATGGGAGTCACATATTCTCATTTTTTCTGGATATATTTGGTTGTCCTCAACCACCAACACACTAATGGCCTTCATAAACTTCATAAACAAAAGTATCAGTCCCAGACTTTGAGCCAATTGATTTCCTGGTTCTAGTGAGTTTGAATCCCTAATATGGAAAAATCCAGAGATATTTGTCATTTAATGAACAGCAGCTACAGTGCCCTGAGGCACATCACCAAAGCCTAACCAATCTGCAAGAAAGTATTTTTGAGTTGACTACTTGAAGGAGGAAAAAAGTTGCAAATAATGAAATGTGCAAGATGTCCATATATTTCTATAAAAATATCTTTCAGAAGAAAGTTAGTCATACAGAAGAGAAAAATATAATTTTTGAGTAAAGAGAGAAAAATGTCAAATAAAATCTGTTTATGTGGGTATCTTTAAAGATCATAATGGTGTTATTTGAAGGCTCTCTTTATTGTCATTATCAGCATGGAGTTTTCTTTGTTTCCCAGGATTCCAAAGACCATCGATGGTCTATTTACACACTCATATATCCAGCTGACTGCTTCACATCTCCATCTGGGTGGCAAATGACAGGGAGAAAAGTGCTCAAAGCTCTATGTCACATTTCTCAGCTCAAAAATGATCCCTCCTATAGTGAAACATTACATGCTCCATATTCTATTTGTAAAAATTTCTCCCCTCCTAGCTTTGTTTTCCTCACTTTACGTCTTCTAGCTTTTCAGACCTGACAATGCATGACCTTGGACTTAGCTTCTACCCATCACTGGATTCTCAAAGAGAAGAAGGAAGGGAAGCTCTCACTCCTGTTACAGTTTCGAAAGTAGAGGGGATTCTGAGGCCCAGAGGAAGATTTGAAAAGGCAATAAACTGAAAACCTCCCCAAGAGTATTTCACATACATTGTAGAAGTGGGCAAAAATGTAAAGCGAAGTCATTCTCTCCTGTTTTCTTTTATTATGAAGCTACCCCTGTGAATGCTACTTGTAACAGAGGAGCCTTTCGGTACACCTGAACTCACAAGGTTATTGCTATGGCCTATGGGATCCAACATTTAATCTCTTAAGTCTAGTTTAATAATTGTTGATCTTGCTGGATGGCTGGTTGCCTTGGTAATAACATTTAAATTGACATATCTGCTTTCTAATAGGGTAAATATTTGTAAAAGTTTTCCTTTAGCCCAGAGAGCTTTGGAAATCCAGCTCATCTCTCCTATCACTATAAAAAGCTTATTTTCCAGTTATCTATTATCACAAAACAAATGACTTGGAAACTGGGTGGCTTAAAAAAAAATTATTTGCTCATAATTCTGTGGGTCTGGAAGTTGGGAAGGACACAGTTGGACATTCACATCTCATTAACTGCGTCATCTGGGGCTAGAGGATCCACTCCTAAGATGGCTTCTTTGTCTATATGTCTGGGTTCTCAGTGTCTTTGGCCTCTGCCTCTTTCTTCACCTGGCATTTCTTCCTCCAGGACCTCTCCTCCATATGGCATGAGCTTCTCTCAGAATGGTGGTCTCAGAGCCATTGCTCTTCTTACAGTGTATCTGGCATCCAAGAGGCAGGAAGCAGAAGCTGCCAGGCCATTTCTGTACCACGCCCAGAATTGGCACAGTGTCACTTCCATCATGTTGCATTGGTAAAACAGCCACAAGCCCTGCCTAGACTCAAAAGGAAGAGAGGTAAATTCCACTTGTGATGGGAGGGTGGGAGTGTCAAGGTCACATTGCAGAAGAAGACAGGTGTGATGGGAAATACTGTTGGGACCATCTTAGGAAAACAGAATTTTCCAAAGGATGATAAACAGTGACTCTGGTCAACAATAAGTGTGATGATTGCTGTGTCAAATATCTCACCCAGACTTGAAGGGACAGAAAGGGAAGTTTTCCCAGAGGGAGTGATATCCCAGCTGAGAGCTGAAAGATGCATGGGGATAAGCCACATCAGAAGAGAGGAAGTTCCAGATAGAGTCACAGCAAGCCAACAAGAGGGAGAATGCACATTCCAGAGCCTAAAAGAAGTTCAGCATGGTGGAAAGGGGGGCTGCTTGTGTGTGTGCATGTGTGTGTTTGTCAGTCCTTAAACAGGTATCATTGTGTTGAGGGTGAGACCAGGTTAATGACATCCCAGGACTTTCTCTTAAGGTCAATGAAGGTTTTAGGCAGTTATTCCATTTCTCCAAGACTTGGAGAATGGATTGTCCAGTGGTAGGCCTGAACGCAAGAAGAGTGGGATGGCTATAAGAGAAGATGGATGGTGGCAGTCAAAATGTGAAAGACTGGATGTATTTAAGAGATTAAGATCAGAATCCATAGGATTTCAAGGGGAAAGAGTGAGGAGAAAGCTTGCATTTCAGGCTCAGGCAACTGGCTAAATGTTGAACTTTTTTTTTTTTTTTTTTAAATATATCTTTATTGATTTCAGAGAGAGGAAAGGAGGGGGATAGAGAGAGATAGAAACATCAATGATGAGAGAGTCATTGATGGGGCTGCCTAGACCGCAACCCGGGCATGTGCCCTGACCGGGAATTGAACCCCGATTGCCTGGATCCCAGGCCAACGCTCAGCTGCTGAGCCACGCCCGGCTGGGCCAAATGTTGAACTTTTTGTTAAGGAAGGCAGAAGCATTTACAGTAAACCCTTGGTTTTGCAGACCTCAATTTAATGGACTCTGGATTTAATGGACAAAATTTCCAGTCCATATGTCATATGTGAAAATTAACATCCTATTAATTTTAAAATGCTCTTAACCAAGATTTGCTTATAATTAAGTTAACAGGTTTTGTTTTGTTTTGTTATTAATTCACTTATTTTTAACAAATTTTAGTGAATAGGCCATATGTTGGAAAAAACACTGTAGTAATTTCACTGACAAATAAATATTACGTATCTACAACTATAGTCTACATATTTAAATCCAAAAGTTACTCCTAAAAACAATGTTTGGTGGATTAGCTTGTGATCACACTGCAGTGGGAGTGGTAATTGGTCCTGTTGTCACATGGGGTGACTTTATGCAGCAGTTTTAATTCTGTTCTGAGGTATGCTAAGCCACACCCCAGCCGTGTGCTTTTGTTTACTCCTGGTGACTGGTGAATGCACACATTTACTAGACCTATTCAGTATTGATTTAAAATTACAGTAAAATTATAGTAATACATATAGAAAACTTTTCTGTGAAATTTAACTTTTCATACATACTTAATTCTAGTTACACAAACCTGTCTATATAAGTAAAAACAGGTAAGCTAATTTGTCCATTTTTTAACATACTCATTTGGAAAACCTACTTTATTATATAATGGACTTCTGGCTGTAATGGATACCCCTTTGCCACATTTAGCCTGTTGTATCGAGGTTTTACTGTACTAAAGACTGCAGAGTGCCAGAGTGCCCCTGCTTCTATTTTATTTGGAGACAGTTGCAGAAGTGAGTATAATGATGATGTAAGACACAATACTTTATTTCATGGCACTTTTAATGCTCATGTGTATTATCTCACTTGACCTTGAGTCATCTAAGTAGATGGGGAGGGGTTTTAAGCCCCACTGACATAAGAAATCCAGGGGAATGTCCTGCTTCTACTACCAATGTCTTTTAGAGCAGGGGTCGGCAATCCAGGCCTACGGCCACATCTGGCCCACTATCTAGTTTTCACAGCCTGTGAGCTAAGAATGGTTTTTACATTTTTAAGTGGTGGAAATAAAAAATCAAAAGAGGAATAACATTTCCTGACAAGTGAAAATAATATGAAATTCAAATTTCAGTATCCATAACTAAGGTTTCACTGAAACAGCCACACCCTTTTCTGGTGTTTAGAGGACAGAAACATATCCCTGGTACCCCTGGCTAACCTAGCAATGTGATCTCATATGTGGCTTCTAATGAACAAAATAAACTGACAAACAATAGAAACAGAGGCACGGAGACATGGAACAGACTGACAGCTGTCAGAGAGGATGGGGGAGAGGGGAACGGGAAGAAAGAAGGTGAAGGGATTAGCCTAGGAACATACATATGTAACCCATAGACACGTACAACAGGGTGGTGATGGATAGAGGAAAGGGGGTGTGTAGGCTGGGTGGAGGTGGGCGACAAAGGGGGGTAAAATGAGGACAGTTGCAATAGTGTCAATAATAGAAATAAAGAAAAAATAATCTAGCAATGGAAAAAAAAAAAAAGAATCCTAGCAATTAACTAGCTCCCTTCACTGGCTTCTGTAACTCCACCTTCCCTTGGGAAAACTCTCCAGTGCCTCAGCCCAGCCTTTCTAAGGGGCAAACAGCAGGCAGCTTATTTATGTAACAAACAATTGTGTAGTGCTTAGGACCTGCCCAGCTCACTTAACCCTCCTCACAACTCTAGGAGGTTGTATTATATAATCAACAACACCCCCGTTTTACAATGCAAGAAACAAGGCTGAGCCACCTGCGAAAGGTCACAGGGCTAGAAAGCGGTGGAGCAGAATTCAAACCTGGGCAGCCAGGCTCTGCGGCTGGCGTGGCAAGCAGGCTCCGGTTAGGCGGGTTTCCTACAGAGTGGGGCTGGGACCCTCACCACGATCGGAGATCAGAGCACCCGCCTGCCCGCACACCGCTCTGGGGGTCCCGTCCCCCCGCCCTTCCCGGCTCCCAGGCGCTGCTCTTCCTGGTGGGCGGGGCTCCACGGCGAAAGGGCTGCGGAGCGGGCTGGGGAGCGGGAAGGGTGGAGCTAGAACATCGGCACAGCCGCTTGTCAAAAACGAATATCGCCCCTGCCCAGGGCCCCGGGTGAACTCCGGTCCCCCGCCTCCCTGCGCTGCGGCGAAGCGCTGAGTCACGGTGAGGCTGCTTCCCCGCGCCCTCCACGCCCGCCTCCCTGCGCTCCTGCCCGCTGCGAGCCCGCACCGCTGCACAGACTCCAGCCGTCGCCGCGTGAGTGAGTACTGGGGCGCTCACGGGTTGGGGGGGGGTCCGGCTTCAGGGAGCAGCACCCAGCCTTCCCCATCCTACTTCAGACTCCTACGGGAGTCTCCGAGGGAGATGCCAAGAGGTGCTTAGTAGTCCTTTGCAGTTTGGTGAAAGTGGTAGCTGGCTTCTCTTTCTGAATTCTAGAAGCCTGGAAGGACCCAGAAATAGTCCAGATGGGGTCAAAATACTTTCGAATTGCTTGTTTGTAGGTAATAGCTGTTCTGTAGGGCTTCGAAGCTTGAGCTTATTTCTGTGCCCCACAGTCCAGCATCCAATAAATATTGATTGCCTGCTCCTCTTTACAGCGGGCCTTGACTGATGGGGAGAGCGTTGCCAGGTAGAGTGCTTTGAATAATAACAGCTGACCTCAGAGCGCTGACTGCACTCCTTTGAGGAAGGCAGTCTTATCACCCCTGTTTTACCGATGGAAAAACTGAGGAATGAGAGACTTAGCAATTGGCCTCAGGTCACACAGCTGGTACGTGGGGAAGTTGGGATGCAAACCCAGGCTGTCTGGCTCCAGGATTTATGCTTCTTGCTAAAGCATCTATTGGTTTGGGTAGGAATCTTTGAAGGAATAGATTATGTTTCTCTTGAAGGAGCGCTTTAGGGATTGCAGTTAACTGTCTGCAAGCATTTGAAGATGAAAAGGGACTGATTATACTTGTTCTGTGCTCAGTCCTGAAATCTGGGATGCATTGTCAAGGGCACCTCCTCCAGGAGTTTCCTGTGCTCTTGAAGACTTCATGAGAAAGTGCAAAGATTTCTTGCCAGAAAAGTTGGTCCTGGATTTCAGGAATAAATGTATCTTTGAATTTGATTACCTTCAAAGATCCCTTTCAATGCCATGATCTTCAGATTCTAGAGAGAGTGACTGACCTCTTGTTTTGCTCCATGTCCTCTACGTCACCATGCAATGCTCTCTCAGCCTCACTGGTAGCACCTGCTTCATGGGGCAGTGGGGGGTGGGGAGGGGCAAGCTGAGACATTTCAATGAGGTAAAGCAGATGAAGTACCCATATTGCTAAACCTTGTAGAAGATGGCTGTAGGATCACATGAGATAACAATTGTAAATAATTAGTGCCTGGGAACCAAGTAAGTACTCAAACACATTCACCATCATGACTGCCGCTTAAAACACCTAACCCACATCTCGTACATAGTAAGAAATCAATGAACTGTAGCTGTTAGTGTTTTGGGCAAGTCTGATTTTAATATCCTTTATTTTGTAGTGCTTGGATGTGACTTAGGGCTTAGTGACTTCTCTTTTGTTTTCCCTCCTTTTGCCCTCCAACCTCTACAGCTCAGCATCAGAACAGTCTCTCTTCGAACATCAACATGGTGTCCTCCAAGAAGGTCACCCTCTCAGTGCTCAGCCAGGAGCAGTCGGAAGGGGTTGGAGCAAGGGTCCGCAGAAGCATTGGCAGACCTGAGGTATGTTGGTTTGGTGGCTGTTTTGTGCTTTTTTGAGGAAGGGACTGCTGGGACACTGAGGGCTAACTTGGGAATAGAGGGCCCAAGACCATCATGAGCTGTTCTGTGTGGGGCCATAGGAGCCAAGTATAAACTTAGCATTTGTGTTCCCCCACAGACTAACTAGCTCCAGCCAAAAGGGGATTTCTGTATTGTGGATATAGACATCCTGAGCAGAAGGTGCAGCTGAGCTTCATGAAACACCTCTGCACACCCACATCCCATCAGCCTCAGCACACATATCACCAGACACACCCATACTATGCCCCCAAGTTTACATGCCCACAAATGAAAGTACCAGGAGGTAACTTGGCCTCAATTCCAAATTCCTAAGAGAGAGAACCTGATTGGTTTGGCTTGGGTCAGGTCTATTACTCTTGCACAGTTAGCCTTTGCCGGGGATTTGGGGTCATAGGGAGACCGCTGGAACACAACTCTGTGAACCACTTGTGGTGGTGGGGGGTAAGTAGGGGCTATCAGAGAAGGCAACTGTAGGTTATGTAGACATCTTTCAACATTAGAAGCTCTTTCATTTGAAAATTATGGGAGATGTAGGACTTGTGGAAAAGAAAATCTTATATGCACAGAAAGGTATTAAATGATGGTTATAACTCAGGGAGTACTGTGCCTAGCACCATACCAGATTAAAGTACTTTTTTATTGAGGTATAATTGGCATATAATATTATATTAGTTTCAGGTGTACAACATAATGATTTTATATTTGCATATATTATGAAATGATCACCACAATACGTCTAGTTAACATCTGTCACCGTACACAGTTACAAAAAATGGTTTCTTGTTATGAGGACTTAAGATATCTCTTAGCAACTTTTAAATATGCAATACAGTTTATTAACTCTAGTCACCATACTGTATATTATATCCCATGACATTTATAACTGGAGTTTTGTAACTCTTGATTCCCTTTAATCATTTCACTCACCCCATCCCCTGCCTCTGGGAACCGACAATCTGTTCTCTGTACCTATGAGCTTGTTTTTTGTTTTTTTAAAGATTCCACATACAAATGAGATCATAGAGTGTTTGTATTTCTGTCTGACTTATATCACTTAGCATATGCCCTCAATGTCCATTCCTGTTGTCATAAATGGCAACATTTCCTTTTTATGGTTGAATAATATTCCATTGCATATATATACTACACCTTCTTTGTCTGTTCATCCGTGGACAGACACTTAGGTTGTTTTCATGTCTTGGCTATTGTAAATAATGTTGTCATGAACATGAGGGTGCAGATATCTTTTTGAGTTAGGGTTTTCATTTGAATAAATATTTAAAAGTGGGATTCCTGGATTCTATTGTAGTTCTGCTTTTAATTTTTTGAGGAACTTCCATACTGTTTTCCATAGTGGCTGTACCAATTTACATTTCCACCAACAGTGCACAAGGGTTTCCCTTTTTCTACATCCTTGCTAACACTTGTTATTTCTTTTATTTTTTATAATAGCCATTCTAACAGGTGTGAGGTGATATGTTTTGATTTACATTTTCCTGATGAGTTGTGAAATGCAAGTAAAGGAAGAAGTATACTAGGGAAATGGATTTGTTTTGAATGCTTGTCCCTCTTCTTAAAATCTGCTCCGATATTCTCATATTCTTTCTATCACTAGCTTCCTCTTTAACTATGAATATCTTTTGAGATCCATCAACATTATTTTCCAAAAGATGGATGCAAACAGGATTATTCTAAGGGCTAAATACACAGTGGGTGCTGGGAGATGCAGATGGATATGGTGTCATAGTCTACTAGGCCATGTCACCAATAGCACAATTGTAAAGAATTTGGACACCCATCAGTAAACCCATTATTGTTTGTTGTGGGTAGCTAATACTTTAATTAGTCCATCTGTCAGGAACATATCTGCTGAGGGTTCCAACTTTTTTTTTTTGACTTGTGGACCCCTTTTGGTGGTCTGGTGAAACCTATCAGTTCCTTCTCAGAATAATATTTTTTTTAAAAAATNCAAGGAAGCAAGCATATGCTTTACCAACCTTCACTGGCAACAGACAATGTTTAATAAACGTATGTTGCCCGGCCGGGCGTGGCTCAGCGGTTGAGCATCGACCTAGGATCCAGGAGATCGAGGTTCGATTCCCGGTCAGGGCACATGCCCGTGCTGCGGGCTCCATTCCCAATGACTCTCTCATCATTGATGTTTCTGTCTGTCTCTCTCTCCCTCTCCTTTCCTCTCTCTGAAATCAATAAACATTATGTGCACAACAGTTTCCTTTTCTCCACACCCTTGCCATTATTTGTTATCTCTTGTCTTTTTGATGATAACCATTCTATCAGGTTTGAAGTAACATCTCATTGTGGGTTTTTTTAACATTTTTAAAAAAATATATTTTATTGATTTCAGAGAGAGGAAGGGAGAGGGAGAGAGAGAGAGAGAAACATCAATGATGAGAGAGTCATTGATCGGCTGCCTCCTGCACACTCCTGACTGGGGACCGAGCCCGCAACCCAGGCATGTGCCCTGACCAGGAATCGAACCCTGATCACCTGGATCCTAGGTCGACGCTCAACCACTGAGCCACTCCCGGCCGGGCAGAATAGTATTTTTTAAATGCATACAATAAAATATATAGAATTACAGAAGAAAACTATATTGACATGTGGTTAGCAAAATATTACAGAACAAAATTGTAATCTAATAGTTTTACATTAAACAAGAGTTGACAGCAATTCTAACTCTCATTTCAAAGCTGTGAGGAACATGAAATATAATTTAGTATACCTGTAACAACTATAATGTGGTATGAAAGTAGCTTTGATTTGTATTAGTGACAAAGTCACAGGTACTGTTAATTTACTGTGGTTCTTTTACTACATTCATAATTGAAGGAAGTGTGAAATTTCATTCTGGAGACGGATGATGGTGACTGTTGCACACCAGTGTCAATGTACTTAATGCCACTGAACTGATGCTTAAAAATGGTTAAAATGGTCAAATTTATGTTATGTGTATTTTACTACAAAAAGTACAGAAGAAAAAATTTTCAGTTAGAGGTTAGTGAAAATAAGGATGTAAATTTTTTTCCAGCCAAGTTCACAGCCACCCTGAATTCTACCCATGGTGCCCAGTTAAGAGACCCTGGCTGACAACCTATGCTTTAAAGACCCTGATATTCTACATATAATCATATATTTTATATCATGGGATTACATAGAATATACATTGTTGTGTTCTTGTTTTTTCATTTAACATGGTAGCATAAGCACTTTCTATGCTGCTATAAATTTTTCATAAACATCATTTCAATAGCTATGACATATTCCAGTGTATGGGCATACCATTCTCTTACTCATGGCCCTATTTTTGGTCATTTAGATTGTTATCATAATTTTAGTACTCTGCACACTTCCAACTTGCCAGGAAGTTAGACACCTAACCCTCTAGTCAGCAGAGGAGGAAAGCATCTGTCTAACTTCAAGGCAGTTACTTTTCAAACTTTTCACACCAAGGATTTGTCATTGAAGGTACATCTCATAAACTGTGCAGCCCAAGCTATTTCAGCATAGAATTTACAACAGTGTTTAGCATCAGTGGCCCTAAGTGACTTCTTCCCTATGACCATAAATGTGGAAGTATGGGAATTCACAGTGCTCACTGAACCTTTCGGTGATGAATGATCAAGAAGAGATGGATTGGGGCTGGCTCACACTTTTCATTACAATTGTACATGGCCTGGGCCAGCCAGGCTGGAATTTGAATGATAGCAGGTGATTTGTCTGTGCTCCCAACAGGAGGGAAACCCACTACTCATCTGCATTTGCCTGTGTGCCCCACTCTCCCTTCCACCAGACACTCCTTGGTGGACTGTGATTTTCCTGGGACCACTCATATTTCTTTTTATTTATTATTGAGAATTTCAAACATACAAAAATAGAGAAACTAGTATACTGAATCTCCAGGTACCCAGTGTCCACAGTGATCAACTCATGGGCACTTTTACTTTTTCTATATCCCGATCCATTTCTTCCCTCAGAGTATTTTGAATTGAATTATTTCTTTTATAAATATTTCAATGTGTGACTCGAAAAGATAAGATCTTTAAAAAATATAACTACAATCCAATTATCACACTTAAAAATTATGAGTTTTTTAATATCATCAAATAACCTTGGTTCTGATTGATACAGTCTCTATAGGTGGCAGTCTCTATTATCATGGTCTGTAGATAGTGAGTCAAGGTAGAGGCGTATACAGTCACAGCTGAAGTCCATTCAGTCTGTATCCAGATCTCAGTCTGGACCATGTGCTGGCAGTTTCCTTCTGCCTTCTCACCATTATCCTCAGGCCCCAGTCTAGAGGCTGAGTAGGTCCAGGAGGTAGGCTGAGTTGTGGGAGCTGCCCTTGAAGGGCCTCGCTGGTGCCTTATTGTCTGGATGTGGGCTGGTCTTTTGTGGGGTGTTGGGAGGGTGGGGGTCACCTGATTCTAGGCTGCTGCCACAGGCCTTACTGTGCTTATATCAGTTATGCATAGGTCTGACTATGGATAACAGAAAGAATTCTCTAAAACCAGTGTTTTACATATGTAAGGATTTGTGTTTTTCTTTTGAAAACCCAAAAGTAGGTAGTCCAGGGTGGGCCTGGAGGCTCCACACTTACCAGAGACCCACACTCATTCTACCTTAGTTCATCATTCTTAGTATATTTGTAGTACATCACCTTATGGCCCAAGACAACTGTGAGGGCAATACCTACCATTTACCCTTGGATACTAAAAAGGAAAGGAAAAAAGGAAAGGCAAAAGGATATCTATCAGCTGCTAATCCCTTTATAAGGGATTTCCCTAAAAGTCCAACCCAACAACTTCTACATCCCTCTCTTTAGCAAGATTCAGTCATACGACCACACCTAGTTGCAAAGGAAACTAGGGACCTAACACAGGACCACTTAGGATGTTTGTGGAGTATCTTCTATGTATTCA